ATTTCCTTAGCTGTGGGTGAGTCCACTGACACCACTGACAATGCTCAGTTGCTGGTGTGTGAGTTTTTATGATGAGGCAAAGGGGGAGTTTGTTGAAGATGTGTTGGGCCTGACGAACCTCAGTGGACACACAAGGGGGGAAGACATTTATAAAGCAATAATGGGAATGCTGAATGAAAGAGGGTGCAGCTGCCTTTATTCCTAACTGTGCAGCTCTTACACTGCGACTCTGAGGGGTCAAGCACAGAAACAATAACAATGAAAACGGCTGCATACAGATTATTTTTGTTTTTGCAACCTCGTGTTAAGAATCTTGTTGCAATTATTTAAAAGTTTGAATGACCGTAATAAACGGACCTTTGTCTTATTGAAACATTTATTTTGGACCTTTAAGATTTGTATTTGAGTACCCCTGTTGTAGAGGGTAACGGTTCCCCTCTGCTGGTCTATGGCCTTGTAGAGGGTAACGGTCCCCTCTGCTGGTCTATGGCCTTGTAGGGGGGTAACGGTCCCCTCTGCTGGTCTATGGCCTTGTAGAGGGTAATGGTCCCTCTGGCTGGTCTATGGCTTTGTAGAGGGTAACGGTCCCCTCTGCTGGTCTATGGCCTTGTAGAGGGTAACGGTCCCCTCTGCTGGTCTATGGCCTTGTAGGGGGTAACGGTCCCCTCTGCTGGTCTATGGCCTTGTAGAGGGTAATGGTCCCCTCTGCTGGTATATGGCCTTGTAGAGGGTAACGGTCCCCTCTGCTGGTCTATGGCCTTGTAGAGGTAAACGGTTCCCTCTGCTGGTATATGGCTTTGTAGAGGGTAACGGTTCCCTCTGCTGGTCTATGGCTTTGTAGAGGGGTAACGGTTCCCTCTGCTGGTCTATGGCCTTGTAGAGGGTAACGGTCCCTCTGCTGGTCTATGGCCTTGTAGAGGGTAACGGTCCCCTCTGCTGGTCTATGGCCTTGTAGAGGGTAACGGTCCCCTCTGCTGGTCTATGGCCTTGTAGAGGGTAACGGTCCCCTCTGCTGGTCTATGGCCTTGTAGAGGGTAACGGTTCCCTCTGCTGGTCTATGGCCTTAGTAGAGGGTAACGGTCCCCTCTGCTGGTCTATGGCCTTGTAGAGGGTAACGGTCCCCTCTGCTGGTCTATGGCCTTGTAGAGGGTAAACGGTCCCCTCTGCTGGTCTATGGCCTTGTAGAGGGTAACGGTTCCCTCTGCTGGTCTATGGCCTTGTAGAGGGTAACGGTCCCCTCTGCTGGTCTATGGCCTTGTAGAGGGTAACGGTCCCCTCTGCTGGTCTATGGCCTTGTAGAGGGTAACGGTCCCCTCTGCTGGTCTATGGCCTTGTAGAGGGTAACGGTCCCCTCTGCTGGTCTATGGCCTTGTAGAGGGCAACGGTCCCCTCTGCTGGTCTATGGCCTTGTAGAGGGTAACGGTCCCCTCTGCTGGTCTATGGCCTTGTAGAGGGTAACGGTCCCCTCTGCTGGTCTATGGCCTTGTAGAGGGTAACGGTTCCCTCTGCTGGTCTATGGCCTTGTAGAGGGTAACGGTTCCCCTCTGCTGGTCTATGGCCTTGTAGAGAGGTAACGGTCCCTCTGCTGGTCTATGGCCTTGTAGAGGGTAACGGTCCCCTCTGCTGGTCTATGGCCTTGTAGAGGGTAACGGTCCCTCTGCTGGTCTATGGCCTTGTAGAGGGTAACGGTCCCCTCTGCTGGTCTATGGCCTTGTAGAGGGTAACGGTCCCCTCTGCTGGTCTATGGCCTTGTAGAGGGTAACGGTCCCCTCTGCTGGTCTATGGCCTTGTAGAGGGTAACGGTCCCTCTGCTGTCTATGGCCTTGTAGAGGGTACCGGTCCCCTCTGCTGGTCTATGGCCTTGTAGAGGGTAACGGTTCCCTCTGCTGGTCTATGGCCTTGTAGAGGGTAACGGTCCCTCTGCTGGTCTATGGCCTTGTAGAGGGTACGGTCCCCTCTGCTGGTCTATGGCCTTGTAGAGGGTAACGGTCCCCTCTGCTGGTCTATGGTCTTGTAGAGGGTAACGGTCCCTCTGCTGGTCTATGGCCTTGTAGAGGGTAACGGTCCCCTCTGCTGGTCTATGGCCTTGTAGAGAGGTAACGGTTCCCTCGTGCTGGTCTATGGCCTTGTAGAGGGTAACGGTCCCCTCTGCTGGTCTATGGCCTTGTAGAGGGTAACGGTCCCCTCTGCTGGTCTATGGCCTTGTAGAGGGTAACGGTCCCCTTGCTTGGTCTATGGCCTTGTAGAGGGTAACGGTCCCCTCTCTGGTCTATGGCCTTGTAGGAGGTACGGTGCCCCTCTGCTGGTCTCTGGCCTTGTAGAGGGTAACGGTTCCCTCTGCTGGTCTATGGCCTTGTAGAGGGTAACGGTCCCCTCTGCTGGTCTATGGCCTTGTAGAGGGGTAACGGTCCCCTCTGCTGGGTCTATGGCCTTGTAGAGGGTAACGGTCCCTCTGCTGGTCTATGGCCTTGTAGAGGGTAACGGTCCCCTCTGCTGGTCTATGGCCTTGTAGAGGGTAACGTTCCCCTCTGCTGGTCTATGGCCTTGTAGAGGGTAACGGTCCCCTCTGCTGGTCTATGGCCTTGTAGAGGGTAACTGGTCCCCTCTGCTGGTCTAGGCCTTGTAGAGGGTAACGGTCCCCTCTGCTGGTCTATGGCCTTGTAGAGGTAACGGTCACCTATGCTGGTTCTTGGCCTTGTAGAGGGTAACGGTCCCCTCTGCTGGTCTATGGCCTTGTAGAGTGGTAACGGTCCCCTCTGCTGGTCTATGGCCTTGTAGAGGGTAACGGTTCCCCTCTGCTGGTCTATGGCCTTGTAGAGGGTACGGTCCCCTCTGCTGGTCTATGGCCTTGTAGAGGGTAACGGTCCCCTCTGCTGGTCTATGGCCTTGTAAGAGGGTAACGGTTCCCTCTGCTGGTCTATGGCCTTGTAGAGGGTAACGGTCCCCCTCTGCTGGTCTATGGCCTTGTAGAGGGTAACGGTCCCCTCTGCTGGTCTATGGCCTTGTAAGGGTAACGGTCCCCTCTGCTGGTCTATGGCCTTGTAGAGGGTAACGGTCCCTTGTAGAGGTAACCGGTCCCCTCTGCTGTCTATGGCCTTGTAGAGGGTAACGGTCCCCTCTGGCTGTCTATGGCCTTGTAGAGGGTAACGGTCCCCTCTGGCTGGTCTATGGCCTTGTAGAGGGTAACGGTCCCCTCTGCTGGTCCTATGGCCTTGTAGAGGGTAACGGTCCCCTCTGCTGGTCTATGGCCTTGTAGAGGGGTAACGGTCCCCTCTGCTGGTCTATGGCCTTGTAGAGGGTAACGGTCCCCTCTGCTGGTTCTATGGTCTTGTAGAGGGTAACGGTCCCCTCTGCTGGTCTATGGCCTTGTAGAGGGTAACGGTGCCCTCTTGCTGGTCTAATGGCCTTGTAGAGGGTAACGGTCCCCTCTGCTGTCTAGTGGCTTGTAGAGGGTAACGGTCCCCTCTGCTGGTCTATTGCCTTGTAGAGGGTAACGATCCCCTCTGCTGGTCTATGGCCTTGTAGAGGGTAACGGTTCCCTCTGCTGGTCTATGGCCTTGTAGAGGGTAACGGTCCCCTCTGCTGGTCTATGGCCTTGTAGAGGGTAACGGTCCCCTCTGCTGGTCTATGGCCTGTAGAGGGTAACGGTCCCCTCTGCTGGTCTATGGCCTTGTAGAGGGTAACGGTCCCCTCTGCTGGTCTATGGCCTTGTAGAGGGTAACGGTCCCCTCTGCTGGTCTATGGCCTTGTAGAGGGTAACGGTCCCCTCTGCTGGTCTATGGCCTTGTAGAGGGTAACGGTCCCCTCTGCTGGTCTATGGCCTTGTAGAGGGTAACGGTCCCCTCTGCTGGTCTATGGCCTTGTAGAGGGTAACGGTCCCCCTCTGCTGGTCTTATGGCCTGTAGGAGGGTAACGGTCCCCCTCTGCTGGTCTATGGCGTTGTAGAGGGTAACGGCCCCCTCTGCTGGTCTATGGCCTTGTAGGGGGTAACGGTCCCCTCTGCTGGTCTATGGCCTTGTAGAGGGTAATGGTCCCCTCTGCTGGTCTATGGCCTTGTAGAGGGTAACGGTCCCCTCTGCTGGTCTATGGCCTTGTAGAGGGTAACGGGGTACAGAGTCGCTTAGATAAGCGGGGGAGTGCATCTGACGAAGAGATAGGTTGTTGTGCTCCCTCTCTCTGTTTCTTATCTATATCTATAGAACTGCTCGGGTCTTGATAGATTGAATGGGGAAGTTCATGAGATCTTTCTAGAGGGTTATCAAGAATAACTTTTATCCAATGACCTTTTCCCTCTCTGTCTGTGTCTGTGTATTCTCTTGTTCCGATTAACCCAGCCAAATCTTTGTTCTTGTTTTGTGTCTATATCTACGCCGGGATCCGGAGTCGAGGCTGATCCTCTTGCTGTAGTCCTGCCTTGGGTCTCGTCATGCTGCTTCCCTGATGGCTTCCACAGGATTTTAGCTAACATCCTCGTGGATTCATCTTCTTATTACAGACACATGCATTTCCTAACATTCGGTCTATATGCTGTAAAATGTATTATCTCTTTGATTTACACACGGCATCTATTGCACTTCTGTCCGTCCTGGGAGAAGGATCCCTCCTCTGTTGCTCTCCCTGAGGTTTCTCCCATGTTCCCCTTAAACCGTGGGTTTTCTCTGGAAGCTTTTCCTTGTACAATGTGAGGGTCTAAGGATAGAGGGTCTGAGGACAGAGGGTCTAAGGACAGAGGGTCTAAGGAGAGAGGGTCTAAGGACAGAGGGTCTAAGGATAGAGGGTCCGAGGACAGAGGGTCTAAGGATAGAGGGTCTAAGGATAGAGGGTCTGAGGACAGAGGGTCTAAGGACAGAGAGTCTGAGGACAGAGGGTCTAAGGAGAGAGGGTCTAAGGACAGAGGGTCTAAGGAGAGAGGGTCTGAGGACAGAGGGTCTAAGGACAGAGGGTCTAAGGACATATTTGTATCTGTTCTTCACTGTAATAATCGTTGTTCCAGGCCTCACCGTGCTCGCTCTCGTCCTGCCCGGCGGCCTCAGGTGTTCCCAGGCGCATCAGCTCCTCCGGGGCTTCTGGGTAAATGATGGCGGTGTCGCTGCGCTGCAGGTATTCTGCGATGGATCCCGGGTGACTGTCGTCGTCATGGTTACGCTTCAGGAAGAAGTCATCGAGCTCGGAGACGTCCAGACTCTCTGCTGAGGAAACACGGTGAGTTCAATAGACATTTAAAGAATATAATCATAGAAACACATCACTATAAGTACACACGATATATGACGCAGAAACTGAAGAAATGAATGATGGAGTTCCTCAGGGAAACGTCCTCGGCCCTCTTAGTTTGACTTTGCATGCTCACAAAACAGCAACATATTTCAACATAACATTTAAATACCAATAGAACTAGGTGAAAAACAACCACTTTATTCAGGTTCATCATTTTCTAAAGCGGAAATATCTGGGTAATCAGCCCTGGTTTCAGACAGAGGGTGAAAAGAGGTGCTGCAGCTCAGGCAGTATGACAGACATAAAGAGCTTTTTGAACATTAAAGGATACATGTTTAAACTGTTATGGAGGACCCAGCGTGAGCCCTGAGGGACTCAAGTCTAACTCTGGAGACTTGACCTTCTTTCACAACACAACAAACCGTAACGTCACATGAATCTGTTTCTGTTTCCTCTGTTGTCTGTTTGAGGACACGTGAAACTTGTCATAATTAATTACTAAACTATATGTTTCACCAACACAGCAAACAATCTGACAACCTGACATCTTGGTGCCAGGATAACAACCTCCATCTCAACGTCAGCAAAACCAAGGAGCTGATTGTGGATTACAGGAAGCGGCAGAGAGAGGGACACGCCCCCATCGCCATCAATGGGACTACGGTGGAGAGAGTCAGCAGCTTCAGGTTCCTCTGTATCCACATCACTGAGGACCTGACATGGACTCATCACTGAGGACCTGACATGGACTCATCACTGAGGACCTGACGTGGACTCATCAATGAGGATCTGACATGGACTCACCACTGAGGACCTGACATGGACTCATCACTGAGGACCTGACATGGATTCATCACTGAGGACCTGACATGGACTCACCACTGAGGACCTGACATGGACTCATCACTGAGGACCTGACATGGACTCATCACTGAGGACCTGACATGGACTCATCACTGCGGACCTGACTCATCACTGAGGACCTGACTCATCACTGAGGACCTGACGTGGACTCATCACTGAGGACCTGACATGGACTCATCACTGAGGATCTGACATGGACTCATCACTGAGGACCTGATATGGACTCATCACTGAGGACCTGACATGGATTCATCACTGAGGACCTGACATGGACTCACCACTGAGGACCTGACATGGACTCATCACTGAGGACCTGACATGGACTCATCACTGAGGACCTGACATGGACTCATCACTGCGGACCTGACATGGACTCATCACTGAGGACCTGACTCATCACTGAGGACCTGACGTGGACTCATCACTGAGGACCTGACATGGACTCATCACTGAGGATCTGACATGGACTCATCACTGAGGACCTGACATGGACTCATCACTGAGGACCTGACATGGACTCATCACTGAGGACCTGACATGGACTCATCACTGAGGATCTGACATGGACTCATCACTGAGGATCTGACATGGACTCATCACCGAGGACCTGCCATGGACTCATCACTGCGGACCTGACTCATCACTGAGGACCTGATGTGGACTCATCACTGAGGATCTGACATGGACTCATCACTGAGGACTTGATGTGGACTCATCACTGAGGACCTGACATGGACTCATCACTGAGGATCTGACATGGACTCATCACTGAGGACCTGACATGGACTCATCACTGCGGACCTGACTCATCACTGAGGACCTGACATGGACTCATCACTGCGGACCTGACTCATCACTGAGGACCTGACGTGGACTCCCTGACGTGGACTCTTCACTGAGGACCTGACGTGGACTCATCACTGAGGACCTGACGTGGACTCATCACTGAGGAGCTGACATGGACTCATCACTGAGGACCTGACATGGACTCATCACTGAGGACCTGACGTGGACTCATCTTTGAGGACCTGACGTGGACTCATCACTGAGGACCTGACGTGGACTCATCACTGAGGACCTGACGTGGACTCATCACTGAGGACCTGACGTGGACTCATCACTGAGGACCTGACATGGACTCATCACACTTTTGGTGATGGTGTTAGTGGAGGCTGAGGAGGTTCAACATGGACTCCAGGATAGTCTGCACCTTCTACAGGTGCACCATAGAGAGGATCCTGACCTTCTACAGGTGCACCATAGAGAGGATCCTGACCTTCTAAAGGTGCACCATAGAGAGGATACTGACCTTCTACAGGTGCACCATAGAGAGCATCCTGACCTTCTACAGGTGCACCATAGAGAGCATCCTGACCTTCTACAGGTGCTCCATAGAGAGCATCCTGACCTTCTACAGGTGCTCCATAGAGAGGATCCTGACCTTCTACAGGTGCTCCATAGAGAGGATCCTGACCTTCTACAGGTGCACCATAGAGAGGATCCTGACCTTCTACAGGTGCACCATAGAGAGGATCCTGACCTTCTACAGGTGTACCATAGAGAGGATCCTGACCTTCTACAGGTGCTCCATAGAGAGTATCCTGACCTTCTACAGGTGCTCCATGGAGAGTATCCTGACCTTCTACAGGTGCACCATAGAGAGGATCCTGACCTTCTACAGGTGCACCATAGAGAGCATCCTGACCTTCTACAGGTGCTCCATAGAGAGCATCCTGACCTACAGGTGCTCCATAGAGAGGATCCTGACCTTCTACAGGTGCTCCATGGAGAGTATCCTGACCTTCTACAGGTGCACCATAGAGAGGATCCTGACCTTCTACAGGTGCACCATAGAGAGCATCCTGACCTTATACAGGTGCTCCATAGAGAGCATCCTGACCTACAGGTGCTCCATAGAGAGGATCCTGACCTTCTACAGGTGCACCATAGAGAGGATCCTGATCTTCTACAGGTGCACCATAGAGAGGATCCTGACCTTCTAAAGGTGCACCATAGAGAGGATCCTGACCTTCTACAGGTGCACCATAGAGAGCATCCTGACCTTCTACAGGTGCACCATAGAGAGCATCCTGACCTTCTACAGGTGCTCCATAGAGAGGATCCTGACCTTCTACAGGTGCACCATAGAGAGGATCCTGACCTTCTACAGGTGCTCCATAGAGAGGATCCTGACCTTCTACAGGTGCTCCATAGAGAGGATCCTGACCTTCTACAGGTGCTCCATGGAGAGTATCCTGACCTTCTACAGGTGCACCATAGAGAGCATCCTGACCTACAGGTGCTCCATAGAGAGGATCCTGACCTTCTACAGGTGCTCCATGGAGAGTATCCTGACCTTCTACAGGTGCACCATAGAGAGGATCCTGACCTTCTACAGGTGCACGATAGAGAGCATCCTGACCTTCTACAGGTGCTCCATAGAGAGCATCCTGACCTACAGGTGCTCCATAGAGAGGATCCTGACCTTCTACAGGTGCACCATAGAGAGGATCCTGACCTTCTACAGGTGCACCGCCCTAAATCGTAAGACTTTACAGAGGGTGGTGAAAACTGCACATCATCACCAGGACCCTAACCCAGGACGGAGCTGCCATCCATGGAGGACCTCTACTCCCAGCGGCTCAGGAAGAAATCCCTCCGGATTATAAAATACCCCCATCACCCCAACCACAAACTGTTCTGTCTGCTGTCGTCTAGCAGGCGGTACAGCAGCATCAGGACTAAAACCACCAGACTCAGGGACAGTTTCAGGACTAAAACCTCCAGACTCAGAGACAGTTTCAGGTCTAAAACCACCAGACTCAGGGACAGTTTCAGGACTAAAACCACCAGACTCAGGGAGAGTTTCAGGACTAAAACCACCAGACTCAGGGACAGCATCAGCACTAAAACCACCAGACTCAGAGACAGTTTCAGGACTAAAACCACCAGACTCAGAGACAGTTTCAGGACTAAAACCACCAGACTCAGAGACAGTTTCAGGACTAAAACCACCAGACTCAGGGACAGCATCAGGACTAAAACCACCAGACTCAGAGACAGCTTCAGGACTAAAACCACCAGACTCAGGGACAGTTTCAGGACTAAAACCACCAGACTCAGGGACAGTTTCAGGACTAAAACCACCAAACTCAGAGACAGTTTCAGGACTAAAACCACCAGACTCAGAGAAAGTTTCAGGACTAAAACCACCAGACTCAGGGACAGTTTCAGGACTAAAACCACCAGATTCAGAGACAGTTTCAGGACTAAAACCACCAGACTCAGGGACAGTTTCAGGACTAAAACCACCAGATTCAGAGACAGTTTCAGGACTAAAACCACCAGACTCAGGGACAGTTTCAGGACTAAAACCACCAGACTCAGGGACAGTTTCAGGACTAAAACCACCAGACTCAGAGACAGTTTCAGGACTAAAACCACCAGACTCAGAGACAGTTTCAGGACTAAAACCACCAGACTCAGGGACAGTTTCAGGACTAAAACCACCAGACTCAGGGACAGTTTCAGGACTAAAACCACCAGACTCAGAGACAGTTTCAGGTCTAAAACCACCAGACTCAGAGACAGCATCAGGAATAAAACCATCAGACTCAGAGACAGTTTCAGGTCTAAAACCACCAGACTCAGAGACAGTTTCAGGACTAAAACCACCAGACTCAGGGACAGTTTCAGGACTAAAACCACCAGACTCAGGGACAGTTTCAGGACTAAAACCACCAGACTCAGAGACAGTTTCAGGTCTAAAACCACCAGACTCAGAGACAGTTTCAGGACTAAAACCACCAGACTCAGAGACAGCTTCAGGACTAAAACCACCAGACTCAGAGACAGTTTCAGGACTAAAACCACCAGACTCAGAGACAGCATCAGGTCTAAAACCACCAGACTCAGAGACAGTTTCAGGACTAAAACCACCAGACTCAGAGACAGCTTCAGGACTAAAACCACCAGACTCAGAGACAGTTTCAGGACTAAAACCACCAGACTCAGAGACAGCATCAGGACTAAAACCACCAGACTCAGGGTCAGTTTCAGGTCTAAAACCACCAGACTCAGGAACAGTTTCAGGACTAAAACCACCAGACTCAGGGACAGTTTCAGGTCTAAAACCACCAGACTCAGAGACAGTTTCAGGACTACAACCACCAGACTCAGGGACAGTTTCATCCCACAGGCCATAAGACTGTTAAACACCTGCACTTTGAAACAACATCCATAACATTAATCTGGCTGCAACTTGGAATTGATTGATCCAATATATCATATTCCAATCACTTGTATACAGACTCTTATTACACTATTTTACTATTTTACTTTTTGTAATTACTTGCACTATTTTTTCTGTTGATCTGTTGGAGGAGCCTGTGACCTCAGATTGTCATCGTTATAACTACACTGTAGCTATGTACGTATGACTAATAAAGGCCTTGAACCTTTAAGATGCCAATAAAGAGATATTTAATAATTAAATTCACAAAATACAAAAAATAACTCTTAGAGCAATAATGAATATTCAACCAATCGAAGGAGAAAACAAATGTGGCTTTTAGCTTTTGTAAATTCAATTATATTCTCTATATATTTCTGATTATTGTTTCTAAGTATCTCACCTGCACTGTTCCCCTCCACAGCCTCACACTCTCTCCTGTCATCTGGAATACATATTCCAATGTGTTCAACAAAACATGTCACGTGCAATCAAATAACAGTTTTATGAGAATTTCTCCAAATTAAATCACTGTGTGCAGATATTTTTATAATGAACTTGTCTGTCCTCAATGTCCTAAATGTCCTCAATGTCCTAAATGTCCTCAATGTCCTAAATGACCTCAAAGTCCTCAATGTCCTCAATGTCCTAATTGTCCTCAATGCCCTAAATGTCCTCAAAGTCCTCAATGTCCTCAAAGTCCTCAATGTCCTCAATGTCCTCAATGTCCTAATTGTCCTAATTTTCCTCAATCCACAGCAGAAAATAAACACATTCAGAATGTATATCTATGTTTTTTTCTTTTCTTTGTTTCTGTTCTGATTTTATGTAAAGCGTATTTGAGCATTAGGAAAAGCGCTATAAAAACCCCATGTATTATTATTATTATTATTATTATTATTATTATTATTATTATATGAATCTGATTGGCTCACCTGTGCCGTCTAGGTGTGTGTTGGAGCCTCCTCTCCAGGAGGGGTCCTCGCTGCCCCCCCCGTCTCTATAGGACAACAGGGCGGGGGCGACCCGGGGGGAGGGAACCTCATCCTCCCCCCCCCTCCCCCCTCCTCCCCCGTTAGTGAGGTCATCAGAAAGCATCCGTTCGTCCTCGTCCATATCCGGGCCCGACAGCAATCGCTCATAACTGGACCCTGAAACACAAACACACACCGAGCTTAGCATCAGGCATGGGCGTCGCAGCCATTATATGAGGGTGGGACAAGTCCCCCCCACTTTTTCAAATGATTCGTTTAGACCCCCCCACTTCTACCATGTGGAAAGTCCGTGAATCGATCTCTCCACTCGCCGCACTCTGTAGAGCGCTGTGTCAGTGCTTCACTATCAAATCCATTCCACTTGCTTATTGAGAGAATGCCCAAATCAATGAAACTCCGTACCATGTTTTCACTGCTACTTTGTACCAAGGCAGATTCTCCCATAGCGCGCGCATGTTCAAGGAGTGTTGCCATAGTTGGACAGCTCAGATCTGTTGTATGAAGCGATGCTGGTAGCGGAGGTAAGGCACACACACCAAATGTTCAGGACATTGTTAATACAGCGAAAATCAAAGCTGACGATCTCTTGGTTTTAAAGAAGAGGAAAGTAAGTCATCAGCTGGTAGCGGTTAATCAGTTACCAGTGATGGCGGCGTCGGCATCACACTTCTGGAGAGGAGTTTGGTCTTTATGTCATGATAGAGAGATACAAATAGTGAATAGTTTAGATGAGAAAAGGCATCGAAATGCCAGGTTACTAGTATTTAACATGTAAACAGGGAACATGAATAACCCCATCTCTCTGTGCTCATGTAAACACCATGATGTACTGTAGAGACGCAGTCAGTGTGTTTCACTGGAGCCTCAGTTTGATAAGAGATTATTTTCTGAGTTCTTTAACTTCGGTACTCTCTCTCACAATGATAATGTGCATTATGTTTTAATTATACTTATCATTCAGAAGCTTTTTGTGTGTGTTTATGTTTTACTGAGTGCTTATAGGCCATTTCCATCCCAGTGTTCAGTTAACTATTTATTTTCTGTGCACATTACATAGACTAGCTAATATTCTACCTACTGCTTGGGGCTTTGAGTCTTCAACATGTTCAATGTCACAGACTGGGACTTACTTTAGAGTCAGTTGTATTTACATTCAGTTTGACTTGTTATGATTCAATGTGAAAGAGTATACTGCTCAGTAAATAATGATCACTTCACCACCTCTGTTGACATCTAGGCGCTTGAGAGTGAGTCAGAGGCAGAACACAGGGACAGTGGAGAGAGGTCCGTTGCTGAGGTGAGTGATGAAAGGGAAATGACAGTTTAGAGTAAATTGTGATGTGGACTCTCATCCCAGAGTGTTCAGGAAATCAGTGGGGATATTGAACAGGAAGCATTTCAGTCAAGGGGCATCATGTGACCAATATAGACTGAAGAGCAACATTTAAGTCAGTGATACCATTCCTAGGTGAACTTAACATCCGTATGGAGTCAGATCAGTCTCAATATTAATAAATGCTCACAGAAGGATTCACAAATGTATTTTGCGATTTATATATAAATGACTCTCCACAACAATATCTCTCAATGCACTCACAAATATTTATTGTTGTATATAAATGTACAAAAAATGGGCATTTAAACTGCTTTTTATTAATTCAAAGACGGCTCTGAATGAATAATCAAATATGTTTCCTTTATTTACAACTGGATGAAATTACAAAATGCACCCATCATTTCCCTCATGCTAGTATAGCCACAAAGAAGTATCAAACCACCTGTTAGAATGCACCAGAATACAGGAAATCAATTTGTTTTCGTGGTGGAGGACCCCCACACCCCCCGTTAAAGATGTCTCCCCCACATTCAGGATGCTTCCTACGCCCATGGCATCAGGGGGGGGGCAACATGACCTAGCTTAACATCAGGTCTGGAAACAGCTCAAATCAGTCTTTATTTAGAGATGTTCTTTATACATCGTTATGCTATGATAGCCTTAAATCTTCACTACTGATATATCTGCTGTTACCCCCCCCCCCTCAGTGATCCTCTGCAGTTACCCCCCCCCCCTCAGTGATCCTCTGCAGTTACCCCCCCCCACTCAGTGATCCTCTGCAGTTACCCCCCCCCCCTCAGTGATCCTCTGCAGTTACCCCCCCCCTCAGTGATCCTCTGCAGTTACCCCCCCCCCCTCAGTGATCCTCTGCAGTTACCCCCCCCCTCAGTGATCCTCTGCTGTTACCCCCCCCCCCTCAGTGATCCTCTGCTGTTACCCCTCCTATCCCTTCCCCCCCCCCTCAGGTGATCCTCTGCAGTTACCCCCCCCCTCAGTGATCCTCTGCAGTTACCCCCCCCCTCAGTGATCCTCTGCAGTTACCCCCCCCCAGTGATCCTCTGCTGTTACCCCCCCCCTCAGTGATCCTCTGCAGTTACCCCCCCCCCTCAGTGATCCTCTGCTGTTACCCCCCCCCCCTCAGTGATCCTCTGCAGTTACCCCCCCCCTCAGTGATCCTCTGCAGTTACCCCCCCCTCAGTGATCCTCTGCTGTTACCCCCCCCCTCAGTGATCCTCTGCTGTTACCCCCCCCCAGTGATCCTCTGCAGTTCCCCCCCCCTCAGTGATCCTCTGCAGTTCCCCCCCCCCCTCAGTGATCCTCTGCAGCTCCCCCCCCCAGTGATCCTCTGCAGTTACCTCCCCCCTCAGTGATCCTCTGCTGTTACCCCCCCCCCCCCCCCCTTAGTGATCCTCTGCAGTTACCCACCCCCCCCCAGTGATCCTCTGCAGTTACCCCCCCCAGTGATCCTCTGCAGTTTCCCCCCCCCCTCAGTGATCCTCTGCAGTTACCCCCCCCCCCTCAGTGATCCTCTGCTGTTACCGACCCCCCCCCCCCTCAGGTGATCCTCTGCAGTTACCCACCCCCCCAGTGATCCTCTGCAGTTCCCCCCCCCCCTCCAGTGATCCTCTGCAGTTACCCCCCCCCCCTCAGTGATCCTCTGCTGTTACCCCCCCCCCCCTCAGTGATCCTCTGCAGTTACCCACCCCCCCCAGTGATCCTCTGCAGTTCCCCCCCCCCTCAGTGATCCTCTGCAGTTACCCCCCCCCAGTGATCCTCCTGCAGTTCCCCCCCCCCCTCAGTGATCCTCTGCAGTTACCCCCCCCCCTCAGTGATCCTCTGCTGTTACCGACCACCCCCCCCCCTCAGTGATCCTCTGCAGTTCCCCACCCCCCC